GGTGCAGTCAAGACAGACGTTCTCCCCTGGCTCTTGTTCGGTGTCCCCAAGGCACCTGTCACCACTCACCTGTCGCCCTGGGAGTCTTGCCTGCAGCACCCTGAGGGCCCTTCCCACCATCAGGTGTGTCCCCAGTGGAGTGGTTCCCAAAGTCATCCTGACACTGGCCTGCTTGAAGTCAGTGCTGTGACCGCGGCCGCCGTGTGCAGGTAGGGAGAGGAGAGCGGACGTCTCCGAGCAGAGACCGAGAGCCCGTCCCAGGCCTTGCCATCTCCAGCCCGAGGATGCAGCCGACAAGTCATTTTCAGAGTTGACCTGAAGCTAAATGGGGGGGGGGGGGACAGCAAGGGTGAAAGGTCACAGAGGAGGTGGGGCAGCCTGAAGGGTAGTGAGGCGGGGCAGTGAGGGAGGGGGAGGGCTGTGAGGGAGGGGGAGGGGACTTGAGAACCAAAGGCCTTGATCCCAGAGGAACCAGGCTGAGCAGAGGAGCATCACAACAGATAAAAGAGGCCAGAAGAAGCCAGGGGCCAGGGTGAGCTGGGGACCCAGAGGTGCCGGATTGAAGTGGGAGTCCTACCTTGTCGCTGCTGCTGCTGCTGCTGCTGCTGCTGCTGCTGCAACCCCCAGGCTCGTCTCCCCAGCTCCACAGCCTACGGTTCCCCAAATGGGGAACAGCAGCCAGAACCCCCCTGTGTTTCAGTAGCTGCCTAATAAATATATGTTAGCTGAACAAAGACGCAGCCATACCCCGGTGAGACAGGCAGGCCACGCCTGATGGGGAGTCTGCACTTCCAGAGCGTTCTGTCTCTCAAAGGCTTCGGAGACAGGGCCCTGAGACTGAGGTGTGAGATCTCCAGTCAAGCCTGTCACCTCCCATGTTGTCTCACCGATGGCCGTGACCTAGAAGATGCACGATAGGCTAAAAAGCCCTGGCAAGATGGCTGTCCCCAAGCATGACCTCCACTGCCCTCTGCCCATCTGCTATTGGGGCTCGCAGGGCCAAAGCGAGGTTCCCAGGGAGGGAACCCCACAGTACCCGGTCACTCCTTCTGTCACGGTAGTAAGGATGTGTGTGGGGTGAGTGGCTAGGAATGGTTGTCCTTCCAGCCCGCAGGGTTCCAAAAGGAATCTTTGCCACCAGACGCCACCGCAGGATTCAATCTGAGTAAGGACAAAAACTCTTGTCTCCCATGCTCAGCTTGCTGGACGGGCAGCCTGCTCTCGGGAGCTGTGGGGAACCCTTCCCCTGCTTCTACTCTTTCCTTCAAGTTCCGTGACCTCAAAAAGCCCAAGACAGGGCTTGAGGATTTAGCTCAGTGGTAGAGCACTTGCTGGGCAAGCGCAAGGCCCTGGGTTCGGTCCTCAGCTTCCCGGGGTGGGGGTGGGGATGGGCGGCCCCAGGCTTGGGGAATGATACAAAGCAGAGCAAGGGAAGGACTTGCCTGGGATCCCTCCACAAGGTGTTGCAGAAGGGTCCAGCCTCCTTCGTTCACACAGCCAGCATCCTTTAGTCCACTTGATGGACAGGACGGAGACTGGTCCCCGGCCTTCCGGGAGTGTACGGGCTGGGGTAATGCCTCTACTTGGACAAGCAGGCCACTCCTTTTTTCCAAAGTAAATTCTACTCAGAGGAGGAAGATGCTGACCGGTGCTCTGTGTCCCCTCCTGTCACCTGTGTCTCTTCTCTTTTGAGCTTTCCCTCCGGCCTCTGTCCTTCCCCCCAGAAACCCCATGTGGTCAGAGAAAGATCTTGACAAATGCCCAGCTGACACACTGTTCACTGGAGAGTCGTGCACTCAGCCCACACACGGTCAGGGTGAGCTTCCCAGCTCTACTGAACGGGCTCGTGGCGGCCACAGGAGCTGCCTGTCGGAGCAGGAGACTGGACTGACTGCACACAGCCACTCCTTGCTCGACCCAAGGGAACACAGCTGGGAGCCGGCTTTCCTGAGCACTGGGATGGGCGAGGGCATTAAAAGCCCCAGGCACAGGGGAGGCCCCGAGAGCCTGCTGGGGCCTTGAAAAAAGGCCCGGGGGGCTTGCAGGACTATGGGGCAGGTGATGGGAGACTGGGAGCTGGTGTTGAGCAGGGGGGGAGCACCTGATGTGGCCAGGGGACAAGCCTCGAGGCTGATGCTGGCAGGGGCCCTCTCCACTTATTCAGAGCCCCTGGCAGTGCTGAGGGAGGGAACCCCCTGAACTACCCACCCCAGACCCCCTTGTGAGAAGGGACCCCACAGTGAACCATCTCCAAAGCACAAGGGAGCTGGTCCTACCAGTGAGTCAGAGGGTCCTGTTCTTGGTACCGTGGGAGGCAGGCCCTCCTTGGACACCTAGTGGCATTCATTCATCAAAGGCCCAGATGGCACTTCTTTTCTTTATTTTATTTATTTATTTATTTATTTATTTATTTATTTATTTATTTATTTATTTATTTATTTATTTATTTTTTGGTTTTCCCAAGACAGGGTTTCTCTGTGTAGCTTTGCGCCTGTCCTAGAACTCACTCTGTAGCCCAGGCTGGCCTCGAACTCCCAGAGATCCGCCTGCCTCTGCCTCCCAAGTGCTGGGATTAAAGGCGTGCGCCACCACCGCCTGGCGAGATGTCAGTTCTTATCCTCCGCCTCTCTTGCAGAGGATCAGGCTATGCTCCAGAGCCTGTCATGGTGGGGTTAGTACCCACTTTTTCCTGGCTTCAGTCCTCCAGAGAGAAGGGACGAAGAGCCGAAGGCCTGTCTTTCCAAATATCAGGGAGGGTGTGAACAACCTGGTCAGGGCAGTTCCCGCCTGCGCCATTCTGAGACCCTCAGTGGCTCCCTTTCCATGTCTGGGCCTCCTTGGCCTCAGCTATAAAACAATGGTCTTGAACGCGCCTCCCTTGTGTTCCCTAGCTGTGGCTTTGGTGCAGATGAAGGAGTTGGGGGCCATTCAGTAGCAAGGGAACCCCCGCGACTGAAGGCTTTGAAGGGCCAGTATTGAATTCCAGCTCCTACCCCAGAAGTCTCATGGTCCAGGTCAGGAAGCTAAGGTCCAACCAAATCACATGGCAGGTCTGGGACTTTGACCGAGGAAGCCCCTTGGGGTGAGGTTGGGGAGAGAAGCAGGGTTGGATAGGGCAGCTGGGGGAGGGAGACTCTGGAGAAAGAGGCAGGGGAAAGGGCTGTTGATATCTAAATTATAGCATTGGCGCGCACCGGTTGCTGCGGCAACCAAGTTGTCCTGAACCAGGGAAGTGTGTAAACATTGCCACAGATGCACAATTAGACCAGGAAGAATAGAACAGAAAATAGAAGCTTCCAGACTTATATAATTCTAGGCCAAGATGTTATCAGGAACCCAGGCTGGGTCCTGGCCCTGCCGCCGGCCTCGGGCCCTGAGACTGCACCAGAGGCACCTGTGCTCAGACCCCAGTGGCTGGGAGCACAGAAGAGTGTGCCCTCGGGGTGGGTCCAGCTGGTGGGCACACCACGTGGGCGTAACAAGCCTCTGCTGGAACAGCTGGCAACCACGGTCAGGCCCGCCTGCCTCTCGCAGGCGCCCAGCAAGTGGGGAGCAGCAGAGGGATGGCTTTGTCTTCCAGGGTCTCCTAAGGTAGGGGTTTCAGTCCTCAGTTTGCAGATGAGGACACTAAGGCTTGGAGGAAGGATGCTGAGAGGTCGGAGGTGGGTAGGAGGAAAGAGCGGCAACCGCCTCATCTCTACCCAGTCTTCATCCCGGAGTTCCTGGAAGGGGATGCCTCCTGACCTGGGTCCACTGTCCTCCCAGCAGGCCACTCTTCCTCTTTCAGCCCGCTGCATGTACCCATACAGGGACAGACATGCCAGGCTCTCCCTTCTTCCGTCTTGACCAGCACACTGGGTACTCTGTCAGCCCCTGTCCCGATCCCAGCAAGTCTGGGGACAGGACAGGAATCTGGGGATCAATGGCACTGTCTGGGGACACTCACCCCATGGTAACTGTTAGCCACAGGGAGCCCTGAGCATTTGGGAAACCAATGCAGATGAAGAGCTGGAATGTAATGAATTAGAATAAACCAGTAACGCTAGGTGGCCAATGCAGAGGCTGTACGCCGCCGGGAGGCAAATGGGCGTCAAACTCCGGGCATGCAGGACACAGAGTCAAGATGAGCATCAGGACGGGAGGGTGGCTTAGTGGTGGTGTGCTTGCTCGATGTGCCCAAGGCCCTGGGTTCCAACCCTGGCACCACCAAAAATAAAAAGATGACCTCGGTTGCTGTACAAGCCTGACAGACTGAGTTTGAGCCACGGAACCCACGGCAGGGGGGGCGGGGAAGGGAGCTGACTCCTGAAAGTTGTCCTCTGCCTTTGACACACAGCATGGCAAGTGTTTCCACCTCCCACGAATAATAACGATGATGGTAATAATAATAAATGGAAGTGAAGGGTAAGTGTAGTGGTGCACCAGTTTCGTTCCACATTCGGGAGGCAGAGGCAGGCAGATCTCTGAGCTTGAGGCCAGCCGGGTCTACATAATGACTTCCAGGTTAGCCAAGGCAACATGGTCAAGACGCTGCTTCAAAACCAGAAAAAAAGAAAAGATACAGATATAGAAGCTTCCAGCACAGCGGCAAGCTGGAAGGGCCACATTGAGCAGCTGGCATTAGGACCTGGATCCTATTCTTCATTGGGCAAACCCCGGTCCAGGGGGCTTGGATCAGCCTCAGGGACACAAGCTTGACTTAGTTTTCCATAATGAAAATAATGCCGTAGAGCGGACTGTCCTCATCAATTTCATGCACGATGATGATGGGCGACACCAAGAAGATGAGGTCCAGGCCTATGTCGTAGCCCACGTTGAGGTCCCGCTGGTCCAGAGGCAGGTATTCACCCTCTTGGGTCATGTAGGGCTTGACCACATCCCCCTGAGCGTCAAAGGAAGTCTTAAGGTCCCGTGTAGACTTCTCTGGTCCCGAGAGTCTGGTAGTCTCTACCGAAGCAGCCTCGCTCGCCAGCACCTCACCTGTCCCTTGTTCTCCACAGGCCCCGCATCTCCCCAGGTGACCACGCCGGCCTCAGGTCATGCTCGGACACAGTCGCAACGGGCAGGCCCACGTGCCCCGGCGGAAACGCCGCAACCGCTTCGTCAAGAAGAACGGCCAGTGCAATGTCTACTTCGCCAACCTGAGCAACAAGTCCCAGCGTTACATGGCGGACATCTTCACCACCTGCGTGGACACGCGCTGGCGCTACATGCTCATGATCTTCTCCGCGGCCTTCCTCGTCTCCTGGCTCTTCTTCGGCCTCCTCTTCTGGTGCATTGCCTTCTTCCACGGTGACCTGGAGGCCAGCCCCTCGGTGCCTGCTGCAGGAGGCCCGGGGGGCAATGGCGGGGCAGCCCCGACGGCCCCCAAACCCTGCATCATGCATGTGAACGGCTTTTTGGGAGCCTTCCTGTTCTCGGTGGAGACGCAGACGACCATCGGCTACGGGTTCCGGTGCGTGACGGAGGAGTGCCCGCTGGCCGTCATCGCCGTGGTGGTCCAGTCCATCGTGGGCTGTGTCATCGACTCCTTCATGATCGGCACTATCATGGCCAAGATGGCACGGCCCAAGAAGAGGGCACAGACGCTGCTGTTCAGCCACCACGCGGTCATCTCGGTGCGGGACGGCAAGCTCTGCCTGATGTGGCGCGTGGGCAACCTGCGCAAGAGCCACATTGTGGAGGCCCACGTCCGCGCTCAGCTCATCAAGCCCTACATGACCCAAGAGGGTGAGTACCTGCCTCTGGACCAGCGGGACCTCAACGTGGGCTACGACATAGGCCTGGACCGCATCTTCTTGGTGTCGCCCATCATCATCGTGCATGAGATTGATGAGGACAGTCCGCTGTACGGCATGGGCAAGGAGGAGTTGGAGTCGGAAGACTTCGAGATTGTGGTCATCCTGGAGGGCATGGTGGAGGCCACGGCGATGACCACGCAGGCCCGCAGCTCCTACCTGGCCAGTGAGATCCTGTGGGGTCACCGGTTCGAGCCCGTGGTCTTTGAGGAGAAGAGTCACTACAAGGTGGACTACTCACGATTCCACAAGACCTATGAGGTGGCTGGTACGCCCTGCTGCTCGGCCCGTGAGCTGCAGGAGAGCAAGATTACGGTGCTGCCTGCCCCGCCGCCCCCTCCCAGTGCCTTCTGCTACGAAAATGAGCTGGCCCTCATGAGCCAGGAGGAAGAGGAAATGGAAGAGGAAGCCGCTGCAGCAGCAGCCGTGGCTGCAGGCCTGGGCCTGGAGGCGGGCTCCAAAGAGGAGGCAGGCATCATTCGGATGCTTGAGTTTGGTAGCCATCTGGATCTGGAGCGCATGCAAGCCACCCTCCCGCTGGACAATATTTCCTACCGCAGGGAGTCCGCCATTTGACCTCCAGACCCTGCCCTCCTCTATTCCTGCAAGAGCCTCTGCCAGGGGTGGGGTGCCAGGACCAGCCTCCTGCTCTCAGGACAGAGTCGAACCTGGCTCCGTGGAGCTGGAGGAAGGTGGGGGCTTCAGAGACTGGGCGATCCCTTCCTGTTGACTGCAGAGCCCAGGACTGGGAAGGACCCAGGTACTCAGCCCTTGCTGGCCTGAGCCCTGCCCCCGGGCACCTCCCCACAGGTGGCTCTGGGTCCCCGGACCTTCCACCCTTTCCCCACTGACCCTTCAAGGATGTGCTCCTTCTGCTCTCAGGACCTTGGGGAAGGCGGCTGGACTGCTGGGGGGGTGGGCATCACGGGGGTTCTGGGTGGGCAGGGTGGGTCTGGGGAGGGGAAGGGGTGTGTTTCTTTTGCATGACTGTGGTCTGTGCTCTTGACTCTCTTTTGTAAATATCTACCAATGGAAGAGATGGAGACACAAGTCCACCTCTGCCCATTTCTACCTGGGGGACAGAGAAGTCACCGTTCCTCTCTGTGCACCCCTGCCCGGCCCAGCCCCAGCCCTACCCAGCTGGCTGGTCCCTTGAGACCCTTGAAGCCAGCTCTGTATGGTGTTGGGTTTGGTTTCAGAGGGGACCCCAGAGGTGGGATGAATACCCTCTCTCCTTGCAGTCCCTCCAGTCCCCAGATTAATGATGGCATTTGTAACTATTTTTAATAAAGCATATGGTCCGCTAGACGTAGGCTGGTAGAGAGGAGAGAGAGAAAGCATGTGAGTATCTGTGTGTGTGTGTGTGTGTGTGTGTGTGTGTGTGTGTGTGTGCGCGCGCGCGCACATGTGTGTGCGCACATGTGTGTGCCCATGTGGAAGCCAAAGGACAACCTCACCTGTTGTCCTCAGGAGCCATCCATCTTTTTTAACAGACTTATTTCCATGTCATAGGCATGGGCATTTTTTTTTTCCTGCATGTATGTTTCTGTACCGTGTGCGTGCCTGAGGCGTGTGGAGGCCAGAAGGGAGCATTGGATCCTCTGGGACTGGAGTTACAGATGGTTGTGAGCCACTGTGTGGTGCTGGGAATCAAACCTGGGTCCTCTGCAAAAGCAACAAGTGCCCTTAACCGCTGAGCCATCTCTCTAGCCCTGTCCACCTTATTTTTTGAGACACGGTCTCTTACTAGTCTGGAGTTCATGGTTAGGGTAAGCTAGCTGACCAGAGAGCCACAGGATCTACCTGTCTCCTAGTGGCAGCTTTTTATTTTTTTTTTAAACATAGGTGCTGGGGATTGAACTCAGGTCCTCATGCTCTGACTTTACTGAATGAGCTGTCTCAGGGGTGTGTACCCTTCCGAGATACCGACCCTCACAGGGACCTCTGCCACCTGGCGGGCAATGGAAGGACCCTGCGTGAGCATCACTGAAGCTAGGTCTAAATCAAATCTTCGCAACTCAGGGGAAGTAGGAAGTGCCCACGGGATTTGCACACATGCGTATGTACACACATTCATGTCTCTGCACACTGCTGAGGGAGCCCGCAGGACACTGTAGTGTGAGAGGCTCCAGAAACCTACCGAAAGCCTGCTCCTAGTCCGGATGTGGCGTCTGCCTGGCTGGGGGACCTCTGACAATCCCTCCCCTCTGGGCTCCATAGCTTGTGTTGTGTGAAAAGTCACCCTCACTCAGGCGACCATCTGCTCCTCAAGGTCTGTGGGAAGCCGCGCTGGAATGTCCACTCTGGAAAGGAACCAAGGTAGCCTCGGCCGCAGGTTGGCTGATGGTGCTGAGCTGGGGCTTGCGGCCCTTCCTCCTCACATGCATCCATTCCATCAGGCTCCCTGGTGGTGTTTACGGGAGGAATCTAAGAGGGAGGGCTGCTAGGGAGCCTCACCTTGAACATCACTTCTGATGCATTTTATTGGGTGATTAGGGTCATCAGGAGACCATTCTGATGATGCGGGGGAGGGGGGGAGTCAGACTCCATCTTTAGGAGCGTGGCAAGTGTTGTCCTGGGGGATGCCTAGCCCCTTTCTGAGGGGCTGCCTTCAGCCACTGTGTTCCACATGCCAGCTCTGTGCCTGGCACTCAGGCTATAGAGAAGCAGAAAGAACTCTGTGTAGTCTCAGGAACCTCTGTGCCAATTTGCCAGCTTACCCCGGTGGAATAAGGTGGGTTGGTGTATGAAAGGATCACACATCACCAGCACTGGCCACGACTACCATCTGGGTGAACACTGCACCCCCAGCATGCTTTAACAGCTTTACCAGGGGATCTGGGGGCTCTTTCCTGGAGAGAGGCTAGCTGGGGGTCCAAGGCCCCCAACAGTAGCTTGCTATACAGGCAGTCCAGAACTGAGGTCTCATTTGATGGATGAAGACATAGATGCAGGAGGAGAGGACTGAAGACTGGCTTCTCCCGTGTGATGACTCACAGAGGTCAAAGGGCGGCCTCTCTCCCATCCTCTGAGGGCAGTGACGGACAGAGGCTGTCTGCCACCCTTTTCTGTCCCCATCCTGTTATCTCAAGTGCACCAGTGACCTTCAGCAGCCTCAGAGGGCTGGAGGCGAGGGTGGGGAGGTGGCACTCGGCAAGAGAAAAATCTCCGTTGCCTAACCACCCATGCTCCCCCAGACCCAGGTAGCTTCTCAGGGATGTCCTACTGTCCGGCCCTGCAGGCCCTGGGAGAACACGGGTGGGACCTTCTTCATGCTTGCTTCAGGTGATGGGAAGTGTCAGCACTCAGCCCAGGTGGAACAAGAATCCCGATGTCCACTCTGGCAAGAGGCCAAGCTGACCAGAGGGCCACCCCAGGACAAGCACTCCAGGGTCCCCCTAGAAACATCATTACCAGAGAGCCACTTGCTCAGACTCCTGAGGTAACCGTCCATTCAGACAACCCCATTCCTCAGGCCACAGGCCACATGTCCTGTGGACCTGAGAGAAGCCGATGTGGCAAGAGCCCAAAGCCTGGCCTTGGTACAGAGCTGCAGGGGAGTGCCAGTGTGGGGCCCCCAGGCAGACCCAGGGTGCAAGAGAGCTCAGACTGCACGGCTCCATGCAGGCTGCAGGCTCAGCTGCTGCCTCAGCTCTGCTGACTAACCTTCTCTCTCCCACCTGTTCCCCTTTCGCAGCCCTCCCACCCGCTTCCCAGCTCCCCTGATCTCTCCTTCCTTGCGCTCCTGGTGGCTGCATCCGGGGGCGGCTGCAGCTTAGATACCTTGGTGCTCAGTCATGCAAACTGACTGGCAGCTGCAGGGCCTTGGAGGTGCGGCCACGCCCTTCTCTGCTTGGCCCTGGAAAGATGAGCCAGACTGGTCCGGCCTGGCGCCTGCTCCTCCGTCGTCGGGGAGAGGGACCCTGGAAGGCTTGACGGGAGTACGGGTGTGGGAAGGGACAGGAGGGGAGGAGGGTGTGGCCTCATCGAGGCTCCGCCCCCGCACCGCAGCCGAAAAGCCACCAACCATTCAAGAATAGTCTTGGCTCACCCGTGGCTTCTGGAATCGAGTTTTCCTTAAGAACTTAAACAGCTTAGAAAGAACTAGAGAGGGGCCCAGGTGGCGTTCAACTGCTTTCTGTCACGGTCCGTCCTTTCTGAGATCACACAGGCTTCTTCCTGCATGTGGCTTCTCTTATCTTTTCTGGATAACAGTATGGTTTGTTTTGTTAGGATTTTATTTTATTTTTTATTTTATTTATTTTTTGTTTGTTTGTTTAAGACTAGGTCACATGTAGCCCAGGCTGGCCTCAAACTCAGTATGTAGCTGAAGATGACCTGGAACTTCTGACTCTCCTGCCCTTCACCTCTCAAGGGCTGGCACTAAAGGTGTGCACCACCGTGCCCAGGCAAGTCTTCCATCTTTGGGCGTTTGGCGGAGGCAGAGGCAGGAGGATCTCTGTGAGTTCCAGGCCAGCTTGTTCTACCTAGCAAGTTCCAGGACAGCCAGGGCTACATCGAAAGACCCTGTCTCAAAAAGCAAACAAAAACCCAAAGACGGTAGACTTGGCATCCACATCCTTCCCCAGAAACAAGCTAGACCTTTTCAGGATTGGGAAGGGAGGAGCTTCAGAACCCAGCTTCCTCTCCTGGCGTCACCGGGAAGATTGGCTGGCAAGAGGCAAGTAAGTCAAGAAGACCCCTGGCTCTTCCTTGTCCCCCACTGAGAGGAAAGATCATGGATGTGAGAGCCAGAGGCACCTAGGTTTCAATTTTGCCGCTGCCACTGAACAGCTGTGTGACTTTGGACAGGTTAATTGTCTCTGAGCATGCGTGTGTGTGTGTGTGTGTGTGTGTGTGTGTGTGTGTGTGTGTGTAGGGCATTCGTGTATCTATCTCGCATTCTGTATGGGTTAAATGAGATCCTGTATGTGACTGGGCACGTATGGGGCCAGGCGCATTAATGACCTAAATAAATGTTGAGTGGCCTTTGGAAAAGGTTTTGATTAACTTAACAATAAACGACACAATTAGTTTGAGAGCAGACTTGGAGTTTCCTGGAAACAGTGGGGAAAACAGAAACCTGGAGTATTACTTAGCACTTTGCATCTGGGCTCTGAGTACTGGATTCCTGAATCCCTGTGGCATCCAGGGGCATCTCGTCCCTTCTCTGGCCTCCATCTCCTCTTCTTCAAGGTAGGAGCTGGGTTTCGTAGCCCCTGGGGTTCTGGTGTGTTGCACAAGCGTGGATTCTGTTCCCGGCTTTCTGAGGATGGAGGGAGGCCTTGAGAAGAGAGCGGGCCAGGACAGAACTGGCACTTAGTAAAGTCAGCCGAGGCTGTCCGACCTCTCTCAGGCCTGGAGACCCGCAGGGCTAACCCCATCTGTCTCCCGACTCCCTCAAGTATGGCGTGGACCAAGTATCGCCTCACAGACCTGGCAGGAGTCTCCCAGCCCTCAGCATTGCCTGGGTCCCTGTGGTCAGCACAGACATCAGCACCAGCCACCCTGCATTCTGCCCTTGGCTTTAGCGCAGGGCCCAGAAGCGACCATGACTGATTCTAAAAAGCTCATGTACCTAACAAATAATTTATGAGGCCCTGCCTTAAGCAAGGGAGGTTCAATCTCGGGCAAGGGGCTTTGGCACTCAACCAAAGCTGTGCCTGGAACCTGGGGCGTGATGTTCAGAAAGAGCTCGGGCCTGGGACCACAAATTCCTACCCTGCTGAATGGGGTCGGATGTCAGATTTCCCAGTGGCATGATGGGAGGCAAGAGAGGAGCACTGTGGGTCCCCGATGTATGAGGAGGGGGCCAGCCTGGGACGGTGGGCTGGCAGACTTCTTTCTTTCTCCCGCCATAGCCAGAGCCATAGCAGAGCAGAGCTGAGGAAGGGCTGCATGGGGTGAGGACAGCAGGACCCGGGAGCGCCGCCCTCAAACGGAGACTCTAGGACCTTTTCTTCAGGCAGCGGGAGCCATGGGCAGGCTGTCTGGTAGCAGAAGTGGGAAGGGAGGTGGTGGAATCCAGGAAGCCGAGCTCTGGCGGCTGAGGGGGCTGGAGTGGGGTGGGCGATGAGAGCCTACAGACCCTTGTCAATCTCCCAGTCTCAAGGCTCCCGAAGGAAGCTGGAGGAGAGAGCAGGAATGGGAGGGGCCCGCCTGGGGCTCAGGAACCACAGGACCTGCCAAGCCTGTGAGGAGTCTCTGGGTGGGGAGTGGAGAGGCGCAGACAGGCTAATGACAGGGGGTGGAAGGGATGGACAGGTTCCAGTTCCCTCGTGACAGGTGAGGAGGCAGGACATGGGC